TAAAACTCAATTTTCATGTACATGATATTTTTACCCAAATTCATCAACACACTCATAATTAAAGATTAAGTTAAACAAAGGCAGAACACATCCTTGTAGAAAAACTACTGTATTTTCACAATACTCAGACTGAGATCGACCAAACATGACTCATGTTTCACAAGGAAGGATTAAAGCGCGTCACCAATTTATCAAATAGAAAACTGACTGTGTTATTTAATATCTCTTGATTTGTGCTTAAACAGTGAATCTTAATGTGAGCGTTTCCTTGCAGTCATCTGATGGAAAACCAGATCAGTAACATTGAGAAGGGAGTGTTTGATGAGCTGAAGGAGCTGGAAAGACTGTGAGAACACATTACAAAGACATTTACAAGTATAAACCAAATTAATTTTTCATTCAAGTGTTTTCTTTCACAGGAAATGATAGCTTTTTTTTCTTTGTCTTGTTTTTTTTTGTCCACACAGTCGCCTGAACAAAAACCGTCTCAGCCAGCTTCCAGAGCTGCTCTTTCAGAAGAATGAAGCCCTGTCTCGACTGTGAGTACAAACTCCAGAGCTCTGCGTATTTTCTCTCCATACCCTCCACCCTCTATTTGAAATCTCAGGACTTTGCTCTCCTTAGCTCAATGTCTCTGTCCTGCACTTTAGGGGTTTTTGCACAGTCCCATATTCAACTGATTAGAATGTGTTTATGTTGGTCATCAGGTATGTCCGCCATGTCCACACATGTACATGGTCCATAAGTACTGGCTCCTACTTGTCTACCACCCTACAGCAGCATCCAGTGTCTATATCCATCTAAGTAGTTCTGTCTGTTCTGTTGGAGAATATCGGACACTTACAAATTGCAGAGTTCCCTGAATTGGCAGCTCTTCTTATCGACAGGAAAAGGTCATAATAGGTCTTAAACATTTAGGATTTTTAAAACAAGCAGAAGTGGTCATTGGGGTATTTTTCCGCACCATCATGTGCATTCAGAACCTATTAAGCTGAAATAGTCTGGATTTCTTTCAGATACACACTTAATTTGCATCTGTTAAAAGTGTGGTTCATTGAGCTCTAATCGCTCTGCTTGTTTGTTTTTCATTATTTAATTTTTCATTCTTCTTCTTTTGCTTTGATGGTCCTGGTTGCTTTTGTGATGTGTGTATGTATGATTGGATTTGAGCGAGTCTATGTTTAAAGGGGATCTGTTGTGATTTTCCATATTTTCTTTCACAAATATACTGTTATGTAATGGATGCCCAAATTTCAGAAAATGAGGTCAGCACATGTGAATCAAAGGTCAGGGTTCAGACTGCAATAAATCCACTGATTCTTGGCTCTGTTTGATATCAAAGGTCATCTCTGTAGCCCCACAAACCTTCTCTTCTGTTCTTTTGTTTGCATTGAAGCCATCAGTGAGGAAAAGGTTTCCTAAAGCGAGGCAAGTTAAATCAGAGAGAGGGTGAAATCAGCTCATCATCAGTAAAAAGAATCAGTATAAGATTATTATGAACTGTGAATCATGCAAAGTTACTCTATTGTAATCCAAGAATAAAAATCTGGAGCTAAAAATAATAAATAGTTTCCCCTTCATTTGTGGATAATGGATTATGTCTGCAGGTCTTGTTACGTCAACCCAGTTAAAAAGAATGTATCCAGCCTTCGTCCCTCCAGGCTGTTGTCTTAAATTTGTCTGTACATTAGCTAATACAGCGGTCCCCAACCTTTTTTGCACCATGGACCGGTTTATGCCCGACAATATTTTCATGGACCGGCCTTTAAGGTGTCGCGGATAAATACAAAAAAATAAAACTAGTACCGGTACCGAAAAAAATGAAGATTTATTTATAAGAGACCAAGGAAAACCGAGTAAACAATAAAAACTATAACAAAATAACGCTGAAAACCGATAAAACTATACATTTCACACCTGAGCCTCAACTCTCGCGGCTCACGGACCGGTACCGGTCCGAGCCCCGGGGGATGGGGACCGCTGAGCTAATACACAGATGTCTTGAATCTGGGTGTATTTTTGGATTATAGTGATCAACTACAATAGTCTAACATTGAAAATGTCTGCTACTCCAAGCTGTTTAGTCACTGACTTTTCTGATAAAAACAATTGACCTATTTTTCCTCACCCAGAAAACACTGCAAATAACCTCCCTCTAGACAGCAGAGGCACTGCAAATAACTTACAGGCTCCCACAGGAGCTGTAGGAACTGTCTAGCTTTAATTCAACATTTGAACACACACATAAAGAGCTTATTTTAATAACTGAAAGCTTGGACACAGTTGGTTACTGTGTGGATAAATGTGACTCTCTCTCACACACATGCACACACACACACACCTCAGACGCTTTTGTTATAAATGCGTGGTTGTAGTGTGAGATGGGGAAGGTATCTGCTACTGCCTGGAGATGCCTGGAAACACATACACAAACATTACTGCAGAGAAAGCAAATATAAGAGCTCTCTAATTAAGTTTTTCCTAATGATTGATCTGCTCGTGACAGTGATGTGCTTTGGTACCTGTGTCTGCATGTTTGAGTGCGGTGATTTAGTGCTTAACAGAAAATGTGCTGATACAAAGAGATTTACTTTTCCCCCGAGTAAAGAAGGAAGTTGACTGAAGGGGGTAGCAGCCATGAAAAATACCAGTAATTACAGAAAAAAGTGGAGACAAACAGTATGTGTGTGTGTGTGTGTGTGTGTGTGTGTAAGAGGGAGGAATAAAGAGAAAGTATAAGACGAGTAGATGGTAAAAGACAGTGTGTGTTTGTTTCAATCCGTGTGTCTGTTCTGATTATTTGCTGCTTTCTGTTTTGGCAATTTCACACTCTAGCTCCCATTAGGATGTGCCGAGATGGACTTGGCATGTTCGATCAATCAGCAAACACACACACACACAGTGACACACTCATAGCACAGAGCCATTAGCACTTCCTCTAGCAGGAGCGATTTCTTTTCCTCCTGCTGTGATGATGGACTGTATAAAGCCTGATGTCCCTGGGAAACACACACTCATGGCTTTTTGCTTGTGTGCATTTTTGTCTCTTCAACAAAATTGCCTTCTATACTTTAGCCTATTTCCTCTACTGTATATTCCCCTCTCCATGTATCAGTCTGTCCTCTTCTTGTAGATTGTGATACACTGTCTTCTTTTTAAACTGAGCTTTTACTGGCTAAATATATAGGTTTATTCATTTGCAAAGAACTGAACAGTGTGTAAAGACTAATACATAAATACATAAAATCTTTTCATTTAATTAATTTGCACGTCATTGAGTGAAATGATGTCACGGTACTGGGTCATGTGACCCAGTGTTTGAGTTTTATGTATTTTTGTATTCATTTTCAATCTAGTTAATTTCTAGGTTGCTGTTCAGACCTTATTTCTTAGTTATTTCTGTCATCTCCCCTTGTACCCAGTCTCCCTGGTTCCTGCGTCTATGTTTCATGTCTATGTGGTTATGTTAAGTTCATGTCATGTTTTATCTCCATGTCTATGTCTCTGTGTTTCCTGTTTTATTTTGTAGGAGTCTGGTGTTCTTTGTTCATTGTAGTTAGTGTTACTCTCCCCTGTATTGTCATTATGTTTCATTCTAGTCAGCTGTGCTCTCATGTGTCTCCACTTCCCCTGATCACCTCATGTGTGTATTTAAGTCCTCTGTTTTCTGAATGTCGTTGTCAGGTCGTCTGTTATCTCCACCATTGTCTTAGTCATTGTCATTGTTATAGTCATAGAACGTCATAGTATTTGTTTCTTAGTGTTTTTTTAGTTTGCTTAGGGTTCCATGTTTAACTCCTGCTATCATCCAAATAAAGGATCGCTTTCTGTTTAAACTTGCAACTCCTTGTCCACATCTGCTTTTGGGTCCTGTTTCAAAAAAAACCACACCGGCGCACCTCGCCGTGACAAATAAGTATTTGATCCCAACTATTCTAGACTGTCCACCACCATGGACAAGACCAAAGAGCTGTCAAAGGATGCAAAGGACAAGACTGTAGTAACAAGCTTGGTGAGAAGGTGAAAACTGTTGACGTGATTATTCAGAAAGAGAAGAAATATAAAATGACCATCAATCCAGTCTGGAGGTCCATACAAGATTTTGCCACATGGGGTGAGAATGATCATGAAAAAGGTGGAGGATCAACCCAAAAATACATGGGGGGAGCTTGTTAATGGCCAGCAGGTAGTTGGGACCACAGTCACATTGGTGATACACCATGCTGTAACAGACTGAAATCTTGAAGAACCCACAAGGACCCCAGCTCAATAAGGCACACGACCAGGCCTGTTATACGTTTGCTAGTGAACACCTACATGATTCAGTAAAGCTTGGGAGAAAGTTTTCTGGTCAACTAAAACCAAAATTGTGCTCTTTAGAGTCAACTGGACCAACTGTGTTTGGGGAAAGAAGAATCTTGAGCATGATCCAAAAATCACCCACCCCACAATCAGACATAAAGCTGAAAACATATGTTTTGGGGCTATTTTTCTGCTATATGTACGAGGAGTCTACACCTAATCAAGCGCACAATGTACAGATGCATGTACTGTAAAATCTTAGACGAGAACCTCCTTCCCCCAACCAGAAGACTGAAGATTGGTCTTAGCTGGATCTTCTGGCATGAAAATGACCCCAAAAGTACCATCAAGGCCTAGCCAGTCTCCGAACCTTAGTCCTATAGAAAATCTGTGAAGGGAGTTGAAGCCAAGCGGAAACCAAGAAAATCAGATGTATTTACAGAGTTTGTGTGAAGAGGATTTTGGGCAGAGTACCTCCCGTGTGCAAACTTGGTGACCATCTATAAAAAAGGTCTTACAAAGGTTTTCCACCAACGGTTTCTTCCATCAACTACTATGTCATGTTTTGCTTGGGGATCAAATACTTATTTTACTCAACGACATGCAAATTAGTGTATGTGCTGTTGCCTATGAAATAGTCACTTCAAAGACAGGGATGAGGTCTGCGACCAGTCAAGGTTTGCTGCTGGCTTCAAAGCGACTTTTGTGCATCAAGACAGTAAGAAAACTGCAAGAAGGTAGAGTCAGTTTATAAGTGAATGGGGGCATAGTGACAATGACATGCAATCTGAATATGAAAATACAGAAATGAACTGTACTTTAATGGCCAAAATCACAAATCTGTTGCCAGCTACATTCACATCAAACAGAAATTCTCATGAACTTCTCTGACTGGTTGTGGGAGGCAAAAACTAAAAGGGGTGGGAAAATTAGAACGGTAAAAACAACCAAAGACTGATTATTTTATTCCCTGCTAAAACCCTCACCTGAATTCAACCCAGGTCTGAATGGACCCTTGGAGAAATGGTATCCAAATGGACTTCAGTCCAGAAAAACTCATGCAAATTCATGCTAGCAAAGTTTATTTAAAGTCTATGCATCTGTTACCTGATCCAGCTTGGAACCAGACGGTAAAACCTCTGATTAAAAGAAATTGACTCTTCATCATCCGGTTGAACTCAGCTCAAGAGTCTTAACATTTACAGTTTTCCTCCACTTTAACAGACGTATTCAAACA